CATTAAAGGCGATGAGCTTCCTGACACACTTGCTAAGAAGGGGACAACGATTTTGCAAGGCATAGACCGGCCGATGTCTTTCCAAATAATGAAGACCTTAGTCAGGAGAGAATTCAAGACCTCAAGGTGCAATGAACTTAAATCTCGAACAAAGGAGAAACAGTGGACAGTGGCACTCTCTAACATCGCTGACTGGCCAAGAATCGAAGCCGTTGCTGAGTCTAGACTACGTGCCGGACTCGATTGCCTGGCGAAACAGAATAGGAATATACGCACAATCAGCATGCCCTCTATGTGACCTACAGAAGGAAATGAAGAAGACCCATCTGATTCGATGTCCAGCTCTAAAGACAATGAAGGCAACTAATGAACTACTAATAACTATCCTAAAGCCTTTATATATGTTCCTCCCCCCATGGAGAAAGCCAAAGTCAAATAAGGTGCTAATGATAAATAACATAAAGCTTTCTGATTGAAAGAACAATAATAACTTTTGGAGGACTCACAACTTATTTTATCTAGTTTGTTTTCGTTATAGTACCCTGTTTACTTGGCATTTTTTGCAGGAAATCGCAAAAATGGGAAAGTTAGAAGTTGGTATCAGAGTTCTCCAGAGTTTACTTAAGCTGAAATCTAATAACGGCCTGTATCATTTTGCATACAAAGAATTATGCATATGGTAGAGAAGATGTCTTAATTTCAATAAGATTTAAGTGAGTCCTGAATGCCTTAACTCTGTAATTTAGCAAGCGCGAACAGACATGCACAAGCGGTCGTGTTTTCCTTAAGGTGGTCTGGAAACGGTGCCTTCATTTCAGCATTTATTGGAAACATTGCACTCAGAACGAGACGAATGTGATGAAGAGTCAAGCGGCTGGATATTCAGAAATAGAAAAGAAGTGATCAACTGTGTTTAATATCAGATATAACTATTTTTTCAACCGATTTGCTAATGTTATATGGACAAAAAATGTAGTTTCCAACGTTGTTTAAAACTCTCCCATACAAAAGTACACGCGGCCATAAAGCTGTATATCTGGTTTCCTGAGTGAAATTTTTAGTTTCAATCAATTTGCAATCGAGAATATGAGTAAATCTTTTTTTTCCTACTTGCTTTTAAGAGTGAATAAAATACATGCCCTTTTTAGGAAATATATTTCAAGGAAAAATATCTTTTATCAATTCAGGTTAAAATTGATAGATTTCCGGTTTATAGTTTATTAGAGTTGAACTTTCATGGCGCCTGTAACAATGGTGTAAGGGACAACAAAATCTTACGTAGGCTGGACCAAGTTTTCATTTTTGTTCAAAACAAATTTTCAATTTTTATATTAAAATTGAGACTATTTATTAGTTTTACTTATTTCTATCAAAATTATCAAATAAAATGTTTAAATATTTGATTATAAAATATTTCTTTGAAGTGGAGGTACTTCATGAAGCTGAAAAAATTCAAAAGTAAAAAAATAAAAAAATAGAAAATACCTCCAAACAAATTTCACATTAAAATTAAACTTAAAATCAAAGTATTCAATGTTCAATGTTCAAGACTATTCAATTGCTGCAATTAATTTTAAAAGTTTGAATTCTATAATAATTTATTTAAATATCTTCAGTTGACCGAATCTAACAGCAGTGTCTTTGATTATTGGGAAGATACCTGTGTTTCTTGACAAATGATGCATATATTAAAACAAATATTAGTAAAACTAAAAATGTATCAATTTAAATAAAAAATAAAATTCACGAGTTTTCCGCATTCAACATTTTCTTTTAATATAGCATTTCTAGGTTGTTAATTTAGTTTAAATTGAGTTAATGTTGTGAAATGGGGGGGGGGGTTGAGCGATAGACTCACCTCCACGTGGTGCACCCTGGGCACCGTATACTCATACGGCAAATATGTCTATAAACCGGCAGTTGACTTCTGACTTCAAACTACCATCACCCCACTGTGTGCCATATTCGACATCTTCCACAGTACTCCTTTTTTCTACCTTTTCTAACTTCGTCTTTGAAACTCTTCTGTTCCCCCCCCCTCACTCTCGCCTTTTTTGCACTTTGATATTCCTTCTCCTCTCTGTGAAGCCCGAAGTAAACCAAGGGGCTAATGATAGCCATCAAAACGCTTGCCATTTGATATAAATAAATGGGGTGTAATGAGTTTATAAATACGAATGTAGGTAATTGGCAAATTTTCGTTCCATCTTAATCGAGTAACAAAAGTTGGTGAATGGAAAATTTCCTGGAACAGGAAGAAAACTTGAGCTTCCGATTAGGAAATAAATGGGGAGAGATGGAGGGAGAGAGAAACAAAACATTTTTCATTACTACAAACTCAAAGTAATTTCCGTTTTATTAATAAAATGGAGAAAGCGTTGTGAAATAAATTCAAATTTGACTAAATTTAGATTTTTTAGAAAAAATCCAATTAGGTGCAACAGATATTTAGCTTATTTAATCAGAGAGTCGTATGTAATGGAAGCTTTTGAGAGGATTTACCAATTGGAATCATAGATGCCAATCCTTGGAATTTTGATAGAACCTCGGCAATCAAAAGCGGTGGACATTGATCAGACTCATAATTAGCTTTTTACGAGCAAATCTTTGCACTTTCTTTAATTCTATTTGATTCTAGTTTGTTTGAATGTAAATAAAATATTGTGAATTCAAGTATAAGAAGTTTGAGGTAATTGAGCTTTGAGGATTACGCAACCATTATGCTGGAAATGTGTTCCTTTTATTGAAAAGACAACGAGATAACACTTATTGACCTGACACCAACTTATCCAACTTTCAATTGCTTCGTTTACAAAAAAACTGGTGATGTGATTTACCTAGTGGTTGAAGCATTATGAAGAAATTTAGAAATTTATGAAGAAATTTGATGAGTTAAAAAATATGGCATCTGGAGGATTAAATTTACCTAAAATTAAACATATTAATATTGTAATGGATTAATCCAAAACTTTTGACATATAGACAATGAGCTTTATTAAGATTGAGCGAAATCTGTACTCGTTAAAGCAAAGGCATTACGCTAAAATGTAAAAAATGGCAATTCTCAATCAATTGTTTCAAAAAATATATATATACCTATTGCCCACAAGATAGAAGTCGCAAAAATGTGTGAAATTAGGTTAGAGCTGATCTGTGATTTAATTGACTTTGAATTGTCATTCAAATTTAAGGTCAGTACTAAAGTTGTTTAAGCATAAAAAATATTTCTTTAACATTTTGCTAATTATTCAAACAAAATACCCTAATTAAAATTAGAACCAATACGGTTTTAATCATTAAATGAATAAAAATAATCTTTCTAATGATTTTATCCATTTTTAGGCCAAAATGAGAAAATTTCATAAAAAGTGGTGGAAACATTAGGCAGAAAGGGGTGTGCGACAGACTTACCTCCACGTCGTGCACCCTGGGCAACGTATATTCATCATACGGCAAAAAAGCCTATAAACCGGCAGTTGTCTTCTCACTTCAAACTACCATGACCCCACTGTATGGCATATTCGACCCCTTCCACAATACTCACCTCACCTTTTCTCTGCCTTTGTGCCTGTCTGTCTCCTTTACATCTTTGAAACACTCTTCTATTCCCCACTCCCTCTCGAATTTTTTTCACTTTATTGTTCCTCCTCCTCTCTGTGAAGCTTGAGGTCAACTAAAGAGCTAATGACCTGCCATTCGACATAAATAAATAAATAAATACATGCAACCCCAATGTGTCCCAAATAAAAACAACCACAGAAGGACTTTCTGAGGAGGAATTCATAAATTTCATAAAATAAAACTACAATTAGAAAAGACAATTTACTCAATTAATATCGACAAACAGAGGAGAATTAAATCGAAAACCTCCATATGAATAAAATCGTAGTTTCTCGTGTTTATTTGCACATTAAATAGCAAATTTAATATAAAAATGGATTAAGGTGAAAACCATTTGGAATTTTCTATTGTTGAGTAGGATTTATTGGGACCATAACCATCAATATAAATTTGGAGATCAAATTATCTCACTTTTATTTAAAGAACTCGTTTTAGGTCTTCTTCCTCATAAATAAATCACTTTAAAAGTTTACACACACCCAAAAGTCAAATTAAATTTCTTTTTCAGAGTTTCATAAAAAAATAAATTTAAAAATATTTGATAGCAATCATCAGTAATTTGCTGCTTTAATAAAGAGTAAGGCAAATTGATATTTCTCCTATCATTAAAATTCGCGGTAAGGCTAGATCTTTGTTTAAAACAGAGTTTTATGCTTTTAGTATCCAGATTTCACATAATTTTAGCAGTTAGGCCGTTAATTAAACAAAGATAAACAACACTGAAGAAAACTGTCACTATGCAAGTCCGATGTCGTCACATCAAAGACTAGAGACCAAGCCGCACAAACACTACGTGGGTTTTAGTGCTTGGTATGCTAAATACTTCGATGCACAATCTGGCGATATTTTTCCACTTTGGCATATGACACGTTTGAAAACTGAGCACAATTTCTGCTCACTCAGGCTTTAATGAATTACACTCCACCTTTTCTGTTGCCATGACGAGTGCTCGGGTTTTCTGGAGAAGCAACCCTTTGTTTAAGCCATTCTAACGCAGGAATTCAAAAGAATTCATACTAAGTCATTGTTAAAGCTAATCAATTGAAATGCTAAGAAATTCGGAGATTTCACTAAATCGCCCCCCCCCCCTGTCTGGAATAGCGCAGATCTCAGGCTCGAGACGTTGAAGTGTGGATCTGTTTACTGCATGAGATGTTCGCAGAGAAAAAAGACTCTTGCACTCAGCAAAAAAGTTAATTCCTTAATTTCGGATTTATTTAAGTCTTCTTATTAATAGAAGTGATTAAAAAATCCCATATCGAAACATCAGGCTCCCTTATTTGACAATTGACTTTTCCCTCTCAGTCATAGCTTTCCGACGGTTTGTGAAAAGAGCGCTAAAAAACGTGCTGTTTCGTAAGTGCCAAGAGAGTTTTAATCTAAGTGAAGGTGGAACGCGCCTCTATTTGTGGGACTTCAGTAGCATCCATGTCACTCCTTCTGGTCTCCTGCTGTAGAAAGACGTCGAAATTCTCCCGACAGGTACCACCTCGACCGTCTGCGATTTCTCGATCCGCGCAGCTACGCATCATGAAGTTCACTTGCATGTGGACACTCAATGCCCGGTCCAGAGGTATCAGAGGACCGAAGAGCCAAAATTCCTCTCCCTTGGAGGCGTTGCTTGCTTCACAGAGCCCGTAGACTGTGTACCCCGCTCCTGGTCGACTTTGTTGACGCCACTGAGGTAAAAAATTGCAAAATATATTAGATACCACATTGACCTTAATCTCCATTATGAGCTAAATGATATTTTGTTATTTAACTGTAGGTAACTTTTAACAAAATGACGCAAAAATACTGAATTTAGGCATTTTGCTTTGATTCAGGGCATTTAGATAACGTGAACGACAGTTTTGAGGCCTAGTAACAAAATAAATCTCAATATCAGAAAGATGAAGAAATTACCAGCGTATTTATAACACAATGTGAACATTGAACACGATTACTTCAAAATAAACTCGATTTGTCTCTGTTAGAGGCAATAGTTGTTTAATTTAATTAAAAATACATATTGACTAATTGATAGATTTACATCCAAAGTGAACGTTATAACGATTATTAATGCTTTTCAATCGGACGAATTTATTAAAATTTATTTCACTTATTTCATAAATATTGCAGTAGCTTAAAAACTGCCTAAATTTTAATCAATTTAGAAATCAAATACCATTGCGTTTGCACATCAATTTTTTAATTTGAGTCTTACTTGGTGTTGGTAAACCAGTTCTCAATTCTGGAGAAATGCAAATGTTCAAGTTGGTAAACTAAAAAAGTTTGCATAAAACAACTTAATTTTGGGGATATTTCAATTATATTGGCAAAAGTTTAGGAGAAATAAAAGAGTGCTTAATTTTATAAAGTCATTAACTCTTGTTGCCCAGACGACAAATGCACTCAATGTTCGTGCTCTGAATAATTGAGTGCAGAAATAATCGAACGCCATGTAAATTGTAAAGATTATTTATTCTTTTCGTCAAAAGCTTGTGATATCTTTCCTTTAGATTGTCATTTAATTGTTAACTTACTATTGGTCAATTGCGAGAGAGTAGCCCTGTTTAAAGATGTTTTTAAAGTGCATTTGAATCGATTGCACTCTCGCGTTCGCACCTGGATATGAGATCACCTAAAATCACCTAAGTAGCCAGACAGCCAGTCATTTATCACATATTCGAGTATATTTAGATAATTAGATAATATTAGCGAGACTGCTCATCTGTTTCAACATACTTTCTCTTTTCTATTCATTGAATCTGAGTAGCTACAGCCTTAACCAAGGTTCAACTGAGAAGTATTAAAACCCTATCATAAAGCATAAATTTGCTTCAAGGAAAAATTTCATATGCTATTTCCCTCAGTTTTTTATGCTATGTTTGAGAGTAATGACAATGAGGAACGGTTTCCAAACACACTTTCATTACTTCTACTATCAAAAGACCCAGTAAAGTGCTTATCTGTCTTTGAATTTTGAGTTTCATTGAGACCCGACATTTAGCGACCTTGTGCCGAAAGATTCCAGTTTTAGGGATTCTAACTTAGTGATAGGAGAGAGGGTCATTTCAGATGAAGTAAAACTCTAATCATGTGCGTCGACAGACAAGTAGTCAGTCAAGGGAGAGTTAATCGCGATTTCTGCATCCAAATAACTTGATATTGAAATGAAATTAGAATTATAGAAAAATTAAAATATAAAGTTACTTTTAGAGAACTTAACAGTTCTGAGTTAATTCGCAAGGTGTTGAATTGAGATGATGTCAAATCACCTGAATGCTTAAATTTTTGCTTGTTGAAATTCTTCTCTATGTGCCAAAATCTGACAAGCTTTAAAGCATTGTTTATTTTTCAATATGCAAAAATTAAAATAAATTTTTGAATGAAAGTTAAGGGAAAAGTTCTTTTTAGAGAGAAACTCACGCCAATATCTGAAGCCGTATTTTTTGTCCAACTGTCCCATCCACTTTCTCGAGAATCCAGTAGAATAACTGAAATGGAAAGTGTTTAAAATTTAAATTTTTATCATGCGCTTCAAAACACGATTGCTTTTATTTTGGTAAAATTATTCCTCAATTAATGAATTCTCTACTTCTATTCTTAACTTCCACGGTCGTTCACCTTTAAAAGGCCAAGAGGAAAAATAAGAAAATGGCACTGCAAAATGAGAATATGCGAACTGACTGGAGGATTTTGGCGGCGTGGAATTCTATGCTGGTGGTCTGAGGTACCATCTGCCTAATCATAGACGTCCAGTAATCGATAGTTCTTTAAATGAGCACTGACCCTTCAAGTGCCACGCGCGCACATCTAGTGTGTTCATTTGAACCCACTGCAAATGTTAGATTTGGCTTCCTAACAATTCCACTTAACTTGCTTGAGCTTCTCCAAACTGCTTATGAAAAAAATTTATTTTTACATCTTGATATGGATGCTATGCTATAACGAACGAAATGTTGAACCCTATTCTTTGGAAATATCCAATCTCATTGAGATTAACAAGCTCAGTCACTAGATATTTTCCTGAATGCTATTACCCACTCACCAGTAAGATGGATCGTTTATGGCAAAATGACCTTCGAACTTAACACTAAGATGTCCCGAAAATGCTGAATTAAGAAGTCATTTTACTATTTAACCATCATAATGCCGAATCATGTCGGCTAAATTTGCACAACTATTTACTTTGAGAACACCTTTTAGAGATCACAATCTAAAGAACTAAGATGTGTGCGGTGGACTTATGTCCACGTGGTCCACCCTGGGAAACGTGTGCTCATTCGGCAAAAAAGTCTATAAAACGGAAATTGACTTCTGACTTCAAACTGCCATGACCCCACTTTATGTCATATTCGACTAATTCCCCAGTACTCACCTCACCTTATTTCTACCTTCGTCTTTAAAACACTCCTCTGTTCCTCCCCCCCTTTTGATGTTCCTCCTCCCCTCTGTGAAGCCTGAAGTCAACTAAAGAGCTAATGATAACCATCAAAACGCCTGTAATTTGATATAAATAAATAAATAAATCTAAAGAACTAATTTGTCACCTCTCAATCTATTTAGCAAAAAAAGTTGGAATTTTTATAAACTTTCTTTATTTCCTAATGTTTACTATCCCCGAACAAAGAAACACGTTTAATTGAGCTTTTGATGGTACTCTAAAGCGTATATTTTTACCTTTGCAAATACAACATTGGACACACACACACTTTGTCTGTTCGACAAGTGATAAATGTAATTTTACTCGCAATGACAGAGATTAATGTGCACATTGATATGTTCAAAGAACCAATATTCATCGGTTCACAACAAGTGAGCAAATCGGAGACAAAAATTCCCAAACTCAAACGTGAATCTTAATAATGTTCCATTCTAGAAATTCTACCCGTGCCAATTTACATTCATCGACAAATTACTACGAAAAATAGGATTATCTGTCAAATTATAAATCAATATTTAAAATCATATATATATATATATATATATAGTTGTTGCTTATAAATTTATTGCACCGTTCACCACACCTACGAATTCATTTGTATTTATTTTGCCTAAGTGAAGTCTGTACTGCATGGAAGTTGAAATTCAAAAGTTATAGAATGCGTTTTAGAGCAATATTCGGCTTAAAGAAAAATTGATTGGTAAGATTAAGTTGAGAAAATACGTCATATAAGGCAAAAATAAAAATCAAAGAATTTTGTGGACAAAATAGACATCGTCCTTACTTGTTCAAAATTTCATCACATTCGAGCATTATTTCGTGTTTTCATAAATTCTTGAACTTAAATAGTTAATGGCAAATTTTTTTCTCTAATGATCAGAGTATTTCCAAAAAAATGCTAAATAATTTTATGATTTGATAAAATCAATACAATTAAGGTTTAGTGACATTGGCACTTTTAAGAAGAAATTTTTCGGTTATAATTTACCTTCATAATTCATAAAGAAAATTTTATCTATTCGTTTCGGAAATGTCCTATAAGATAGTAATTTCATCGTATTCCAATATTTGACCGCAAGATGAATTAATATACTTTCAAATAAATTTAATTTAAAAATTTTTCAAACTACAGTTTACACCTTAATACAATATCAGTAAAATACGGCTTTCAACGAACTTTAATCTTTCTAACCACCTTGGTGAATTTGTAAAAGAATTTATTTCCCAATCAAAATAGTACAAAATTCTGAAAGTTTTATAAGTTCTAGAGGACTAATTGAGGACATTTTTTCAAATTTAACAAATTTTGATTTATAAAAGTCAACTTTTCTGAAAATTTAGTTATCCAAAATTTGTAACAAAGAAGTTTTTTGCTGTCATTGTTTGTGTTCAAGAGCGAGATCGTTTTTGCAGTGACTTATTATTTTCGATTCCTCATAATGTTACAATTCGCAATATGAAAATGCTATAAAATACAAATCCTTTTTTCAAAATCTTTTCACAATTAAATTTCAAACGTTTAGTCCTTCTAAACATAAGACGCAAAACATAATTTTGGAATGATAATATCAGCCAGACGATTAATTTTAATTAATTTTATGATACATTAGCATTTTACACAAATTTGAAATATTCATGGGATAAAATGAGTTAAAGTTTGTAAAATATTTGAAAACAAATTATTGAAATGAAACTGGAAATGTAAGAAAAATTTTAACTTCATGTATTAAGTGACTTTTAGGGTGGAAAATTTCATTAAGTTCTAAAAAATCAATATTTGCAAAAACGATAGGAACACGACTATGCCAGTAGTTTAATTCCTAATGAAAATAACATGGAAACGATAACTTATTTGTTACTGCGCAATAAAATTAATTAATATTAATGTACAATTTTGAACTTAAGGTGACTTGACTAATTCCTACCGTATGAGCAAAGCTGTTAGTTGCTCATATAGTAAGGAAAAAAACGTTTTATTCAGAAATAACAACACATTAGGCCCTTTAACCCGTCATCAACTTGTTTCCGGTATTTTAAGAAGAAATGTTTAACTCAGAAAAACCTCGATCACTAATTTTTGATGACACTGACTCACAACTATTAACAAAACTCAATGAAGACTTATTACAGCAGTTCTAGTAAGTTAATCACTAGTGAATTACGAATATTTTGAAAAATATTCCGCATGCATTGAAGATTCACTACCCTCCTCCACGTCATATAGCAAATTATGCTTTTAGTTGTCAGTTAAAAGTAAATTAAAAAGTAATTATTGTGATTTCCTGCTTACTGCGATTCGCTTTC